ATTCCGGAGAATCTTTTTTCTGGTGTATCCACTGGCAAGGTTTCCAGCTTTATTCAAAAACTCCTTTTTAAAACCAAAACTACATATGACATAGTAGCTAACAAACAGAAACAATTTGAAACTTAAAAAAAAATAATTAGTTCATTTGTATTTACAGCTCCTATTCACGTTACTTCACGATAAATTATTCAATTATGGCGGCAAACACGGGAATTTCGCTGTAGTTTTCCTATTTTCCGCGGTTTTCTTCGTGAAATCGACCAATTTCGGACCATCGTCCTCAAAATAATTGATGAAAAAGTTTCAGAACCCATCGACAGTAGAAACTTGCGGCGAAAATAATGAAAAAACTGCTGTTACGACCCGACCTGATTTCAGGTCGGTAAAATAGAGCAACTCGCATAGGATAGAACTGTAGCTTTCTGATTTCGCGTTAACACTACGATGAACGAAATACCCGCAGCTAACCTCCGACGCAAAATAACAAAAAGTGATTGATTGAGGTCCATCATTACGAATGAATACAAACAAAATTGCTTCAATTTTCACAATATCGTGTCATACATACACTGTCAGTTGACTAAAGTTGTCTGTCGTTTTTTGTTTACCAAGAAACGAATCTATAAATACACAATATACTTACCAATAACAACTCCGAAATCTTCACGCTGACGAAAAACAAAATGGCGACCATAACAAAAACAATTACACTCGCGTAATCATGCACATGTTACAACGAATTTGATTGGCTGATGTTTTTCTCGTAAATTGTGAGACTGGAACGAGAGTTCCTATGCGGGTTGTTCAGATCCAGGTGGCTTTCACGAACATAACCATTCTTGCAGCAAAACAATTGTAACGTTAAAAAATAATTAAAATAAATAATAATTATAATAATTATATAAAAAAAAAATTTAAAAAAAATTAAGCCAACCAGAATCTTATTTTAATCAGATTGTATTATCAACAGGATTTTGCGAGAGAACCACACCCACATTTTCAACCATTTTCAGCGCGAAAGTTGCCAATAAATGTCGAAAATCTCGTGTATTTCATGTATTCGGATAAAATAAATCTAGCGATTGCTAAAAATGGTTATTAATATATTCCCCGATGCTCTTGGAATTTTTTTTTTTGATTTCAAGGTAAGAAATGGCTAGTTGAAGTTGTATCGACTTCAAGGCAGCTGTTTCACCAAGCTCTGTTGTAGTTTCACGATGTAAAATGAAATGTATATAATAATAATACTTGTTCAATTATTTGGGTTTTCAGCCCACAAATTACGGGACATGATCACCATGAATTACGGTCAATGTTTTGTCTAGGCTGATTGTGATGATTGCCGGACGTCGGGACCGACGCCCGTCCTAAACTCAGTATGGAGAAACCAACGGGGATCGATTTCCCGAACAAATTATTTTGGCACGGTCGACAGACATTCCAAACAATGGAAATTATCAACGAAAGAGGAGATTTTTCTAGATATACTGTCATGACAAACATGTAAAATTAACAAATGCACAAAGAGGTGTAATATTAAGTTTTATTTTAGGCTTAGATTACATATTTTCTTTCACTCAGCCCATGCATGGAACTGCCATTTAGCTTCATGGTCCTTCAGCTTGTCTTCGCCTTGAGGAAAACAACAATAATTATACAAACCGTAAACACATTGCAAAGACTCAACAATCGGGAAAGAAAACCCAGACAACCATGTCGTACTTGTGTTGAAATACATTTTGTATTTCACGTCAGAATATTGTTGAAAATAAAATATTCAATCCAAGCCAAATCGAAGTCAAAGGGTCAGATTGCGTGCATATAATTATAGATAGTTAAAACGAAAAGTATTTGAACTTTTGTCGGCTGTTCAACATTTATAAAAACCAGTAAGACAGTAGCGCAAGTTACAAATGACGTCACAATCAACAAGGCAACACCCAGGACAACAGAAATTCTTCAATAGCAAATATCATCAGCACAAGAACAATAACATTACTCACAAGAACAATAGCAGTCACAAGAAAAGCAACAATAGAAATTACAAAAATAATAGTGGTAGCAGAAACCAGGTTTTTGAAGATTTTTTGACAAACATCAGGTATTTAAAAGCAGATTTTTCTTCTTTTTTTTTCAAATTTATTTTATTCAAAAATTTTTTTCTTTTTGATATCTCTAATTTCCAGTATACAGCAAGATGAATTGTCCGACTGCAAATAGGGACATACTAAAATTTACTGCGTGGAATATTTATGGAAGCTTGGAGAAAAAAATTAGAGATAAGTGTTTCTTAGATAGTGTAGAAAATTTTGATTTTATTAGTTTAGTAGAGACTAAAACTGATACTAACGCTATCACAGATTTACCAAACTATAGTCATCTTCACTCTTTTCGATCAAAAAAACATAAAAAAGCCAGATCAAATTCGGGTGGTATCGTACTATACTATAAAAATCAATATAAAATAGGGGTCAAACATTTACACAGTAGTTCAGAAGACTTCATCTGGATCAAACTTGACAAATCTTTTTTTCATTTAAATGAAGATATATTTTTATGTACGTTATACCTCAGTCCCCAGTCTTCCAGTATCTTTAACTGGAAAGAATCTAACTTGTTCCAGCTTTTAGAAAAAGATATAGCTAAATATGCGACAAAGGGTGCAATTATCTTGACTGGCGATTTTAATGCACGGACAAAAAATGAAGAGGACACTGTTATTTACAATAACCCAGACCATCAATCGTCTGACACTATTAGTAGCCTAAAAAAAAGAACATCACTGATGAACT